GAAAGTGAGAAGCTTTCTCACTCCCATAACTTTTCTCGAAAATCTCAACGATGAAACCGTTCCTTCTTTTCTCTGCAATGACTTGTCAACATTTCTTCAAATCGGTCATTATTAACGCTTAGGCCTACTTCCGCACAAATAGCTTGAAACTATGAAACATTAATAAGAAAATGTCAGCTTCTTATTTACTGCTTTCTACAGTTTTTTACGGCAGGGTATTATATGAAGTGTAATCACAATGGTGCTGAGATATTTGCGAAACTCTGGACCACAGGTATTTGCAGTGTGGATCGAACACGTTATTGCCCTTTCTGGGAGCTGACGCCTTCACTACCGCACCACGCCGGTCCTTCGCTTCGCCTGCCTCTCAGCTAGTATTGATAAGGTATTTCGGAAGACGGAACCACTTCCCTGCATTACAGCGTTTCTTTCGTTCTACTCGGAATTCTGTAATTGGGAAAAGACTTGCTTTTTCATCTATAAATGAGACTTGAAACTGCCAAATGAACATCGAGCTGGAGTTTTCAGTTCACAAGATGTGGTGGACATGACCTTCCTGCGTGCTGATCGCCGCCCACACAATTAGTTCTTTCCCACTTTTTTGTTCATTGCGTCTTTCCCTGCTTCGTACAGACATTGGTTTAGGTGTAAATTTGTCTTCATTTGTCCTTCGCTTCGCTCTTATATGTCATCACTTTCGGCTAATCTTCAGATCGGACGGTGGCTGGTCTTATTTCGCAGCTGCTCTTGCACCATAACGTTCGTCGTCGCAATCTCATTAGCCCGCTTGAGAAATCTCCATGGTGGATTCCAATCTTGTAAATGATTCTATGTGCGAAAATTTCTATTAGCTAGGATTCCTACCGTATAAGGTTTTCATTTTGGTTGGCGTCGTTGCTTTCTTAAAAAAGTGATATCTACCTTTCCCAGGAACGTGTGCCGTTCGTACCGTTTTCTCATTCGTGCGACTGTTATGTCTTTGTTGAGAGAAATTCCTTTAGTGAAGAATATATAACACAAATTCTTCTATGCAATCTCATAGAGTGATGTTTTTAGAGATGTCATTTCTTCCTAAACGAAAGCCGTTTGTGATTTTCCTCTCACCGAAGTGTTGTAGCACCGAGAATGCGATCATACTCTTAACGTCAATGTAGAAGAAAAACATACGACCATAAATGGGTTTTAGATTCGTGAACAAATGAATACTTTTATGTGTTTCACCGGCAGACTTATCTAATGACTCCAATAAAAACCTGGCAACTAATCATTTACAGCGAAAATTGCACTTGTTAGCGAACTTCGTCTTAAATTCCACCATGCCTGCACCATTCTGGCTGCTGACCGTCGTCCGAAACAGAAGATTCTAATGCAACTGACTCTTCTTCACTGTGTCTTGAGATCACATTTGCAACGTTTTATCGGTTTTTGAACAGCAGAATGGAATGTAGAACCTACCATGTCATTGACTTCGTAGAATCTGAACATTTCCCGTGTAGATCTCGACAATAGGAGTTAATCTTTTCTATTTATGTGACCCATCATTATTTAATGTATAGATACGAACAGTTTTCTCATTCGGTTCACACTCTCGCATCCATCATTCACGTAGGTCTTCAGATTTTCAGATTTGCGTTTGAGCTCCGCTGCCACTAGAGGATCTTCTTCATGAATGCTGTTGGATGCTGGTCAGGTTCATCTTCCCTGGAACCCTAGGACGTGTTCACTAAGGCGTCCCTAGATCCTCGCCACAAGCTTCTCCTGGCCTTTATGAGAACCTCTTCGAGATTAATGCGAATTTGCGAAAGGAGATTGAGCATGGTTAGCTCGGTTTAGTGCCGAACCAGTTTCCCGTACCTATTTCTTTCCCTCAACGTGTACTGTAGTCGGACCCATAAAACAATCAGCAAAAAGAGTACATTCTTGTAGCTTCAGATTTAATGTTAATGTGGCCGGATTGAGTCGAATTCTGTGAAGCGAAGCACAGCTGAAGTGAATAACCTCCTTGTTAGCTTAATTATCGATTAAAATATTGGCTATTCATAAAGAAATTAAATGGTAGGCGGTTTTCAAAACAAAACCAGTCTCACCCTGACTTTATGATTTGCTGAAATCAATTTTATATTGGTGTGCCGCTAACATTGACTCCTGTGATTTGCCTATTTTATTTATTTTGTTTTGCATGGCCTGTGTTCACATCTGCTGTTATGATCCTAGAACATCTTGCGAACATTTCGCTTGTTGTTTCGACTTCTGCTTGAGGACTGGACTTCGTCTTCTTCTTACGAATACCGTAGAATGCTGTTCGAGTCGACTCTCCTTGCGCTGTTGACAATAGCCGAACTACGGTGTTCATGTCTATGTGCATTGGAGGAGTGCTTTGAAGAATGGATCGAACCAGACAGAGCATTGCTTCCCGATGGACTGCTTCACTAACCAATGCGCTGCTCTCCTTCCTAATTTATTTAGTAGTAAATTATTCTGTGGTTTTCTTTAATCGTAAGCTCACCAGGGCAATTCCTGCTGTTTATAGAACAAGACGAATAAGAAGCATTATAAAGTATACGAACCGGTTTGTATTTTCCTTTTTGCTGATGCCAACGGACTAGCGACTATCGCAGCTAGCTGACTCTCAGAAAATACCAACAGAACAAAGCTACTACTTATTGCAGTGAAAACCCTTTCCGAATTCTTTAAATCGGAAAAAAGGCTAATTCTAAGTGCAGAACGTCGAACGGAAAGTGTACGTTCCCAACTTCTTAGTGAGAAGTTCTAAAGAACATTTCCCACCTGCGGTTTCAATCCCAGTTAATGTTTTTGTCTGAGATACCGCCAGAAATAGAAATTTCTTCGGAATATTTATCGTATTCTCTGGTGCTACCTTGATTTCTCTTCTTCACTGAGTTTTTCATTTCTTACTGTCCTATGAAATTGCCTATTCTTCGCGTACTTCACGCAAAAGTTTTCTTGATCATCGAACGGCCACGTACATGGAACGGTTTAGCCCGTGTCAGGGTCACCCAAATCGAGAAAAATTCTAACATATGCGTAAAAAAGTCTTGCTAAGGTTTAGTTAACCTTAGCCTCTGTGGTAAAAACTTAATCATAAGGTGGCGCTCTTCCCTAAGATCCGCAGAAGCCTAAGACTTCTACAGTAACGATCAGGAAATACTCCAGAAGGATTTCCTTTCGAAAAGTAAAAACCTTTTCTACTCAAAAATCTTGTTAGATTTAATTTTATTCGTTTATATTCATAGATACAGGCTTTCATACTTGCCACGGGCAGGTCGTTTTCGTATTTACTCTCTATAAAAATAATAAAAAAAACTTGTCCTGAGGTTTCTGTAACCTTTAATGGAAGAACTAAGTGAGTGTTCAATAAATGTTTCTTACCTCAACCTTTTACCCCGTTCTTGTGGCTGTTTACAACATTTTCAATTACGTATAAATTGATTTTCTTGGGCCTTGCTAAACTGGACCTGCTGTTGTGAGTGTACCGCCCTCCTGTGGCGCCAATAGAAATTCCTTCGGACGCTTGCCGAACTAATCGCTTTCTTCAGGCTATAATTTCTTTATTTTCGTATTGTTCCGTGTCCAGTTTCTTGTGTCTACAACTTTTCCACATGTGATCGAAAATTCGAATACTTGCTGACACTATCTAATGTCGGTCGGAGTCTACCGTATAAACAACTCCCAGCCGACACGGTGACCCCCTGTGGAGTTCGACTTACTTAATCAGCTTAACTACTTAGAGTATTTCAGATTCACTTGGCGATCCGCACTGGTATGGTCATCAAGAAAGTACGTTGTAATCTGGAAGAATTTGTAAAGTGTTTTTCTAGAAGAATTTTATCAATCATTCTAAAACTCGTTTAAGTCGTCTTGCTTGCGACACCAAAGCAAATGACATGTAAATGGTTGAATAACCTCTATTTAGATTTTTGGACGAAATCCCGTCAAAGCTGATCCATATCGAATTCGTGTCAGACCAAATCTAGCTAGTGTAAGAAAATAGGACGAGTTTTCACAGTGAAAGGTGTACAGGTTTTAGGTTTTAGGTTATGCTTGAACGAATACTTCTCGTAGAGAGTGGATTTAATGACTCGTTCATACATTTTTCCAATATAGGAAAATTTGGTAGAGTTCAAGCAAAGTGAAGGAGAGTGGGAGAATAAATAAAACGGTATTACAACTAACAGTTAACAGGCAGCACGTAAGAGTAACTGAGTTTAGTTGTCAGTGTAGCTCGAGCTAAAAATCGGGATGCCCCTGACAAAACCTGCGAACTTGGTCCTTCTTAGCGTGTGGTTGCCTTTCGAGATATTTTCGGTGGTGATTTTACAGCATAATTTTTATATGAATTCAAAGCGAAGAATTTCATAGACACTGCAACACCACCTACTGTACTCAGTTAATCATTCATTTCCAACAGTGTCCATTTAGAAGTTTTTCACCAGTACATTAAAAAGAAAGGTCTAAACCTATCACGACATTGATCTAACCTATTAACATTTCAAGGTGATCATATTCACTTGGTTGGCGGGATTCGTTTCGAGTAATGGGGGCCGTCAACAGTTCCGAGGAGTGCCGATCGCCGGCTCCGGAGCACGTGCCGTCAGTCCGTTCGCTGGAGGGTTCGTTGAAGCCACGGATCCTTATCCTTTTCTATTGATAATGTCTATTCATTTGTTATTTATTCAATGTCTATTTATTCAAGATTTGTCACTGGTTGGCCAGAGATCTGAACGTTTTTTGGAAATCAACAAAAACATTGCCATCACTGAAAATGCCTTCCTGAATTCGATTTATTCGAATACGTTTGCTCATTTAAGACTTATTAAGAATCGTCATTTTGTTGATTAGCAAATCCAGGAGGTTTTTGAACACCCAAGAACATAACCTACTTACTTTTAAACCGACTTAGCTTTAACCTACTAAACTGAACCTTGACGAACCTAGTTAGTTCTTCCGATACCATCATGGAAATGACACGGCTCTGTTTTCAGGTCATACGACTTCAACCCGATACTTCTACAAGGAGTCCGCGGTTATCCCGGAATTCGTGCTCGTATTAATCAACGCACATTCCAATATGCCAGTGGTCTGGTTGCCGAAGTACTGAACCAGCAAATTAAGAAGGCCCGAATTCCGCCAATCACCCAGTGTATTCCACAGGTGGGCGACTAGCAAAATCTGCATGAATAACAACACAACAACTACGTTACTATTGCAACGCATTTTGTTCTTACTTCGAGTCCCACTTCCAGTTATTTCTATTTAACAACTGAAATACAGTACCAAGCAAAATACTACTGAAAATGTAAATAGATAGGATATTGAGAGACAGGCGAAACGAAGGACCCGCGTAGTGTGGTGGTGAATGCGCTACTCCCCGGAAAGGACAACAGCGCGTTCGTTCTCCACCGGATACACCTAAGGTCCGGGGTTTTGCAAATATCTCGGCGTCATTGAAGTTAAATAAATAGGGTTTGAGAAACATCGTTAACTATCACATTGATACCAGATACCAGTCTGATAGTGAAGTTTGAAATTAGTAACGACCTGCTCTCACTGAAATGGGTTGGACATTGGAAAAAAGTGCGACTAGCAACTTTTCCATGTGATCTGCCACATATGGTTAAGCCTAGTATTGTATGGAGACTACTACGAACTACACCTAATTTCTAGACTCGCTCGATGTACGTTGGAAAACTCATTCCGTTTTTTTTCCTTGCAAATTGTTGAATGTAAAGAATAACTTTCCAGTAACCATGTTTGTCGTAGAATCTGTATTGAGAAATCTGTCGGTTGAATGCAAAAAGTGCAGCAAATAAACCCTTCACCTCAAAACAAACAGTCGAAAAGAATATGCATTGAAACAAATGCATGTGGTCACGTTGCGCTAATATTCTCCATCGGGTTCAAATCATACAACGAGGGTTTGCAGGTGCAAGGATGTGCGCGGGTCTACAATCTCTATGTGTCGCGATATCGCTGTCCACAGCGTGTCGTCCTCTATCCGGCTCCACCGAACAGGATAATTCTACAAGTAGACAATGTTGACATAGGGTCAGTTTTTTCTCTATTAAACTCTAAGTTGACAACTATATGTTTTTTGAATTCATAAACTTTTCAGGGTTACCGGTAATTTGGGGGGCCAAGTTGTGGTTCTTTTACCAATCCCATTATCGGGAATCATACAATTGAATATTCAGCAGGTAATTTCCTTTAACATTAATCTGATCAATTTCATTCGCTATAATAACTTTAACACTTTGGAAGTCGATCTTCATGACTCATGCGAGCTGAGCAAATCTAAAAAAATGAAAGAGCTAGTTGAGCGATTCTTCGTCTGGAGTCTCTTGGAGAGGTAGACATGCTTGTCAGCCCTAAGGCTTTGTCAAGCTCTGAGTAATAAATAGTTTTCGCACTCTGCCGCTCGACGGAAGGTTAGCTACATTGCAATTAAGCTTTTTCTAGGCCTGGCAACGGCTAGTTCTGACATTGGTTTACTTATTCTTCTTTGCACTTCCGCACGAAAATGAAATGCACTTCGGTTGATTGCCCGTCTACACGAAACATTCAACTCTATGAGGAATTTTAGACTTGCTGGACATAGTAGCTCGACGCTTTGAAAAGCCACGATGAAGCTGTGTCCAGCAAGGGGGATTTGCATCAATTATTTAAAGTAAAATTGTAACCTATAGGCGGGTAACGCAATTGCAGTGGTGCCATTCATTATGATCAAGACACCCAAAACCAGGCGCTCGTTCAAATCCGCACCAGATCCACTAAGGATCCCATTCTTTCAAGGTGGGAAAATTGGTATCAAATTGTAAAACATTGGCTCACTCTCTCCAGTTTACATTGGAGTACCCTATCAGGGCTATCCGAGGATATCGGTAAGAATCGACTTAACCAATATTCAATGACATTCATGAAGAAAGCAAAGCTCTCAAGTGGCAACCGAACTATACCACAGATATGAAGACCTTTGTGGATGACTGCGAGGAAAACGAATAGAATGCAAGCGTTAGGATTCACACAGCATGTGTTCTTTCCAGCAAAAGAAAAGTGTGTACCATTGTCCGTAGATCCTCCAACTTTGAATGTAGGCCGTAGACCTTGTAGTTCGCTCTACTGACCACTGCTATATCTGCGTTGCTTTTCAAGATGTGAATGTAAACTCCTTGCGAAGAGGACAACCAACTAAACTGCCTTAGCTAGTTTTTATGAAGCCTCCAATTACCAATTTCCTACTTTTATTTCACATGGCCTGTCATCACATTCCTACCAATGCTTTACCGCCTCATCGCAGCTGGAAGGTGTTCCTGGGTGTTGAACTGCGATGTACAACGGAGAGATTCATCTTTCGGCAGGGTCTCCCAAGCTGAGAAGGAGTCCGGCGTTTTCATCAGGAAGCCTAGCTAAGAGTGAACCAGTAAGTCTTCGGATCCACAAGGGCGGCGACTACCTGTAGTGTTGACCACCTGGGAGAGACTTTGGCCAGGCCGACCTCGGGATTCCAGGGAGTTACAGTGGCTAAACCAGCAAAATTTCGAAAAATGGAGACGATACTGGGACCCACACAGCCATTGAGGACGGGCTGTCCAAGTGTCATCTCATCTACTGCGCGGATCCCAGCACTTCTTAAATTTAATTCGTTTTTGCATTTGTCGTCCACCGTGGTGTCCGAACATTTTGTGTGTTGTTTCAGCTGCTGCTTGGAGATTCCGCTTTCTTTATGAATGCCGTAGAATGCCGGTCGAGTCAGTTCTCCTCCAATTACTCTTATTACTGCAAAATTAACCTTAATCGCTTACCAGAAATTCGCGAATTCTATAACACTCCTTCATTGAGAAGCTCTGGTTGTCAATTTTCGGTATTTTCAGGTAGGGATTACTGTGGAGCTGAGCTTGGAGCGTGGACCAAGTGGTCCTTACGTGCGAATCCTTTCGTGCAGCGTTCAGATCGGATACGCTGACGCTTACATAGAAAATGGCGGTCTCATAGGGTATATCATCAATACACAATTCAGAGTGAGGTTCTTCTTTTAAGCGATAAAATGGAAGCTAGGGCACTGTAAGTTATTTTTCTAAATTATAAAGCTAGGTATCGATTTGGCATAGGGCCTAAAAGTGTGCAATTATTCATATGATCGACTTAGTGCATGGAACAATACCAGGCTCTTCCAAGTGTCTTTCAAAAATGTTCAAGCACCCAAGTTTCAAGACTGGTATTCGAATAAGCAATTATATTTGGATGAGAAATAACAACAACCTTCATTCAGCAACGAATCTCGAGCCAAGTGAAAGAAATGATTCCTAGTAGAATATGTGGTCAGCTGCCAACCATAGTCAACCAGATGTTGAACACTCGACTTGCCGCTCTGCCGCAGCTCATCGCCGTCTCGCAGTTACTGAGCATGTTTGCTAGCGTACTACCTTTCGGTGGTCTAGGTCAAACACCAAGCCCACAGTTTGTGAGTTTTTCCATTATCAGTTTTTCTGTTAAGTTTCTATATATGTAAACTAATCTATCGTTGCTTATGTGCACTTGTCTTCAAGCCATCATCTATCTGTCTGCTTACCGGGTTTACTCTCTTAGTCTTTGTCCTCTCTTAAAGGTTCACCGATAAATGAGATTGCATCCTTTCATCGTCTGCCTTAATAGTTCCTTTTTCAACGCTACAGAACGTCGAAGCAGATATGAAAAAGACGTAATGGTTACATTTTTATATATCCACCACCCACCTAAACACTCGTATTTGGAGGGAAATTTTGTACAAAGACCTTCACAAACCTTAGTCCCTGCGAACTTATCTCATATCGCCTACGAAAGAAATACGGTCCCGTTTATGTGTTTCTTTCGCCATTTAGAAGTCTCAGAAATTTCATTCTGCTGTACAAGTTCGAATTTTCTACTTCTTCTTTGTTGAACGCTGAAATGACACTCACTTTTTTGTCAACATTGTCGGAGTTTAGTTTAAACAGTCTTCTAAACGAACGGAGATTTATACCAATGATTAACATTACCTTAGCAATCTGGTAATTGAAGCGTGAAATGCTAGAGTAACTGCAAACCACAAAATTTACCAGATACTTTTGTAAAGTCCCAGCTTTGGCAATGCATTCAACTAAGATAACTTGATTTGACATCAGTGAACTCCATTCTTTCCGTGTCGCACACCTCAGGATCGATAGCGCTTTCCACTTGCTCAAGGGCGCGAGGAGTGTCACACTTTTAGTGTCACTCTTCTTTACGATGCTTTTCGTGGAAAGATAACCAAGGATAAGTTGCCTTACTCTACCACTATATAGGTTTGTTCTAACACCTCTTATTGACACCGCGTACCGCACCATGCATTCATTAGAGATCTCTTGCAATACACACGCGGTCGTTGGTTCGATCAAACTTTGGGCTCATCAATTCTTCCATCCCTGTGGGTTCAGAAAATTGGTACCAGAGGGGTTTGAGAAGATACCTGCGTCGATTCGAGGCCACTGCGAGTCACTCTACGGGCCAGATAAGCATTCACTCTCTTCAGATGATGCTCGATAAAGTCGAATGCAATGCGCATCACTTAGGAATTGATCAACGCGGAGAGCTTTATCTTTCATACCAAGATGATGCTGAGATATTTGCAAAACTCCGGGCCGCAGGTGGCTGCGGTGGGAAATGGACGCGCTATTGACCTTTCCGGGAAGTAACGCGCTCACCACCACACCATGCGGGTCCTTCGTTTCGTCTGTTTCTCAGCTAGTTCTATTGGTCTGCAACATCAGCAATCACCCGTCAATGGGACTGATCTAGAGAGCCCAAATCGGTAATTAACTTAGCTAAGCTGAGGCTGAAGTCGAACTGCCTACTTTAATTTTTTAACGGCTGGGTATCATGTGAAATACAACTAAGATGATGCTGAAATATTTGCAAAACTCCGGACCGCAGGTGTCTGCGGTGGGGAACGAACGCGATATTGTCTTTTCTGGTCCGGAGTTTTGCAAATATCTCAGCATCATCTTAGTTGTATTTCACATGATATCCTGCCGTTAAAAAATTAAAGTAGGCAGCCAATAAAAAGATTAAGATTTTATCTTTCATAGTTTCTCCTTTTCTTAACTGACTCTGCTAGGAGGATGATTCCCGCGATCAACATCATATCTAAATTAATCGTGAACACCTTCCAACTCGATGAGGTGACAAACTTTTTATGGGATGCAAAGAATGGGAAGCCAAAAGAAGAATTAAATCAGAAAGAAAAATACTGCGTCTTCCATGAGTAATGAAAAAGCGTGCCATACACTACTATTTTGGTCTAGAATATCTTGAGTCATTCAAATAGTCACGATTGGCTCGATTTAGAAAAGCCTGAAGTTTTCATTTGTAGAGATCAACATACATAAACAATGCTTTCTAGAAACGGCTGCGACTAACGATTCCAGACCAAAGTAGGAAAATCAGCGGAAATTGGAGACCGTGCTACTAAACAGGTTATTAGCACAACGCGCGACGCTCAAATTTGCGTGTCTGCCGCGTCAGACAACGCCTAATTTCGTGTCGATTGCGGACTTGCTGGTTTTTCGGCAACAGATGGTCATTTTTCGATAACTATAGAACTTGAGGGGTTGAAAACATGGTAGCTTATAAAACGGACTTTGCCGTATCGCTCTATGGGTATAGAAGGTATGTATTAACTAACCAGTTAATTTTTACTATCTTTATTATTACTATTTATAATCATTAGTACCCTTCCATTGCTGATGTATGGCCATCTATTTATTATTTTCTATATTCCGCTGTGGTACATCGGGCAGGCACATTGCTGTCAGTATTTGTTAGGATTTTGCAGCTTATGTTGAGCTTTTGCGTGTGGTGCGGTGGTAGGAGGTGCCCTGCAACACACACGTGGAATCGATCGCTGCGTACATGGTCCACCAAGCCTTCCATCCCTACGGGGTCGGCAAATTGGTACCGTAGTTAGCTGTGAGGATAGCAGAACTGGGTCGATACATCGATAGGCCACCGCGAGACATTGTAAAGGCCAGATATGCATTTAGTGTTCGATTTCAACTGTAAGGACAGCGATACAATACGGCCAGCAGTCTCCATCTTCACTTCTAATGAATATGGCTGGTTACTGCGAGATGATTCTCACATCCTTGTTGAGAAGTTGTTGCCGCCTCAGGATGGGAATTTTCTTTGAAGAGTATTTTTGCAAAAATTACAGGTGGACGGTGCTATTAATACTATTATCGTATCATATTAGACTCATGGTGGCAAATCTCACTGTGATCCACGAGGACTTCGGCTAGTTGTGGTGGTGACGACTTAGAGCAGACTTTGGCCAGACTGATTTCTGGATTCCAGGAATCCACAATGGCTAAGCCAGCAAGTCTCCAAAAAATGGAGATTATGCTGGGGCCCGAACAACTAATGAGGACGCGCCGTCCAAGTATCAAACTAAGTAAATTCATCGATGGCGAACGTAAGCCTCGTTCTGTACCCCGTTTATAAATAAATCGTACAACATACTTTATTTTGTGTGCAAATCTTAGCAAATCCTCAAGTTATCAGTGAATTAACTAGAAAACGTGCTTTAACCATTGACGCATGGTTAACGCTGGGGAATTTGTGATTATTTTTCTGGTCTCAAAAAAGAACAAGCTGAGTTAATGCTGCATTGTTGTGTGAAATTCAGCCACCGGTACAGAAGAGACTTGCCGAGATCACCTGTCCGAGTTGATGACGACTAAACGTCTGAATCTATTTGTCGGACTCGTATTAGTGCTGCACATGCTCTTTCAGATGATATGTTTTATAAGATGATATGAGATACAAACCTTAAAGTAAGAAGCAGCTGAGCTTGTTTCCTCGCTGTGGCATTTTAAAATTTTTCTAAGCCTGGATGATGCTGTTGCTGATAGTCATATCACTACTCTCAAAACTTAAATTTCCGGATTATAAATTTTGTTATTGTTGCAAAAACGGGCATGTCACATCGTCGTCTGTCTGTCGGTCGAGTAATCGCGAGAAGCGGTACCGTTACAGAAAGTGGTCTAGACTTCGATATTGCCTTAGCACGAATGCCTTCCGGCTTCCAAGAAAACCACAATCAAACGGTATTCAGTTGGTGAAGAGGATAGAATATGACAGAGTTTTGAACCGCAATCGAACTCCACACGCTCTACAGCGCAACTCCATGAATAACAGTTGCATGACAACGAAACAGATGTAAGAAGTGCTGGTGAACGTTCTGTATGAGGGAAAGAGCCACCTAGGTGTATAAGCAGCAAGTAGGAGATCATAAACACCACCAAAGTAACGAAATTCATTCGTGTTTGAAAACTCCAAGAACTGAACTGAATTGTTTGAAATCCACAGGCTGCTGCCACATCTACGGGTTGTGGGCGCTTGCCGGATTTTTTGATAAAACTACTTTTTTTGGCTTGCCAAGGCGTGTGTAGCGCAGTAGTTCGAGGAATTGATCCTGCTCCTCAGGTTCACCAAACCTTCCATCCCTCCGTGGTCGGCAAATTGCTACCAGACCTGTCTGGGAGGGCAGTAGCACCGACTCGATACATCGGTGGACCACTGCGAGCCATGACAGAGGTCAAATACGCATTTAATCACTTCTAACGATGGTTAATGAAGTCGAATGCATGGCACATCTCTCCGGGATAGATCAACGCTGAGTGTTTTATCCTTTCTTGACTTAACAGCAATAAATCCAATAAAAGCTTTAAAGAAACCTAAGCGGAACCATCATATTACCACCCCAGAGGTGTGCAGACTACAAACGAATGGTTCAGATTTTTGTAATGTCCTTATTAATTTTTTATTCTACCGCTTTATTTTTTTTTTTTTGTTAGCTTGAATATTAAGCCTACAGCGTCCGCCACCTTGCGCTCTTTCCCATCATCTGCTCCACATTCCTCCCAAATCGGCTTACCTCATCCAACGTTTCGTCCATTCATTGAAGAACAGTTGCAGTAGAACGAATGCGACGGTTGCAAACCTTTCGGAGAAACTAGGTCTATAATTAGATATTCTTAGAAAT